GATCCGTATTCCACCAAACAGCTCTGGAAGGTCCTAGGGACACCAGGTAAGTCTCAGCCCACTGTTGGCTAATACTCTTTAAAGCATGTCCAGCACAGCCCAGCAGCACTATATATCTTGGGCTCCATATTCCAGCCCACATCTCTGACACCTTTCCTGGATGCCAGGTTCATCCTAGGGACCCCATGTGGGATACCTTACCACCTGTTACCACTCCTTAAAACCTGCTCTACAGGACCAGACTGTACTCCCTCTCTTGGGCTCCACATTCCATCTCACACCTTAGGCAGAAGACTTCTGTTTTACCTCAGGCCAGGCTGGTTCTAGAGCTTCAAGATAAGACACTGCCCACTGCTAGCCAGCACTCACCAAAGCTGGACCAACAGCCCCCAACTGCACACACCTGCACTCCCTATCACATCCCACAAATTCCACAGAAAACTTCTGCTTTACTGGAGCCTATGGTATACTAGGAATCCCAGACACCAATCAGAAACCCAGAACACAATAGGCCACACAGGTTATAGAAACCACAGAGGCCAGTTTGGCATCCAAACTTCTTTTTTATTTATTTTTTTTATTTTATAGTACTATTCAGTTCTACATAATAGCCACAGATTCCCTTGTTCTCTCCTTTCCTACCCCTCCCTTTCCCCCCAGCCCACCCCCGCTTCCCAACTCCTCCTGATCATGGTCTCCCCCGAGGACTGGGATCTACCTGATAGACTTAGTCCAGGCAGGTCCAGTCCCCTCCTCCCAGATTGAGATGAGCGTCCCTGCATAAGTCCCAGATTTCAAACAGCTAACTCATGCAACCAGCCCAGGACCTGGTACCACTGCCTAGATGCCTCCCAAACAGATCAAGCCAATCGACTGTCTCACCTATTCAAAGGGCCTGATCCAGTTGGGGGAGCCTCAGCCTTTGGTTCATAATTCATGTGTTTCCATTGGTTTGGTTATTTGTCCCTGTGTTTTATCCAACCTTGGTTACAAGGACCTAAATTCTTATTTTTATGCCTCATCTCATAGTCTTTCAACAATTTTCCAACAAAGTGATGTTATTAGGGTCAAGCATTTACCACATGGGCCTGTGAATGACTCACTTTAGCGACAAAAATCTCAACTATCAGCATTCATGAATATTAACAGTTCTATATTCAAAAATACTCTATTAGAGATTCCATAAAACATGACCCTTTGCTAACATTCATTTTATTATTCTCAGATTCCTCAGTCTGTATGCAGTGAGAGCTGTTGTCTTGGATTCAGGAAAACCCACCGAAAGGGAGAGGCTGCCTGTTGCTTTGAATGTAAGCAATGCCCAGAGAATGAAATTTCCAATGAGACAGGTGCATGTCAATCATGCAGAAAACATCACAGCTCTCCGCATCTGCAATGTACAAGCAAATGAAAAATATCTATAAGTGAACTGCAATCAATTCACATCTGTAAAGACAATCATCTTCCTTCCAACTGTTAGAAAACATCAGATTGCAATTCATTTTCCCACTGAAATAACATGCTCTTGATATTGAAATTCATACCTGATTTTGTTCTTGAACCACTTTGGACATGACTGTCTACAGAAAACTACTCTTCTCACACCAGTGAACTATGCTTCATGTCACCATGTGCTTTGTCTCCATTTCTTCTCTATTGTTGTGCAAAGGCACTACAATGAAGCAACTTATAAAAGAAGCCATTTAATTGGCTTTCAATTTCAGACTGTTAAGACTCCTTGAGGGCACAGCAGAGGCATATGTGGCTGGTTGAGTGAGAAAGTCTTCCATAGGCTCTTGTGTTTGAATACTTGGTCTATAGTTGTGGAACTATTTGGGAAGTATTAAGAAATTTGGCCTTATTGATGAAGGTCTGTCACTGAGGGCTCGAATGGAGAATCAAAACCCTGCGTCATTCCCAACTCTCTGTGTCTGTCTCTGTCTCTGTCTTTCTCTCCATCACGCCTATAGATCAGATGTAAGCTCTCAGCTATTTTTCCAGCTCCATTCCTTCT